AACACCATCAAATACCACCAGTAACACCATTAAATTCCACCAGTAACACCATCAAATATCTCCAGTGACACCATCAAATATCACCAGTGACACCTTCGAATACCACCGTCGACACCCCCAACACCCAGCACTAAAAACCAACAAGAACACGACCCCATCAATCGACATGGTAAAGTACACGTCTATCCCACAGTAAGCTGGTTCAAGGCTGATTATGTAATCACTAATTGCGAGGTTAATTAATTATGATGTTGAATAGTGTGGCAGTGAAGAGGATTTATAATTATAAAGCTTCTATTTATCATCAGTGTTGAACTTTTTTTTTATAAAGTGATTAATATTTCTATTTTGTAACTATGAGCCGAAAATGTTAACTTGTATCATATTTTAAAGATTTAAAATTCAGACATTTTTTTTTGTTATTTGCAAGGATAGGCAACACGACTTTATATTTATTTATAAATGTTTCTTTTCTTTTAGTGATGGATACTAGTGTGGTCGTGTTTCTCTCTTTTTCTCTAACTCTGTGTGTATCTGATTCTTTGTGTGTGTATATATGTGTTGGTATAAACATTTAAACTACACATTTCGAAAATTTCATATTTTAACGTAGTACGGAAAAGATTTAACCTAACCACCGCCCATATTCTTTACATGAGACCTGTTATAGTTCTTTAAAAAAGATTTTATTTTGCTTCCACTATCACTAAACTGGGTATGTTCAAAACCCAGGATAGAGGCAGTAGATGGATCAGAGCGTTTGGATGCTAGAGCTTACGACCTCTTCCCCGAAAATTCGAATCTCGGACTGAGTCTGTAGGTCTCCTGTGAGTCCACCCAGCTCTAATGGGTACCTGACTCACATTGGGGAATCAAAGGCGGCTGGGCACTAGTGCTGACCACACTATCCCCCTTATGCGGAGGTCACTGAAACATTTCAACTGTCTCATGTGTCTTGGGCACAAACGGGAAACGAAGATGATGATGATGATGATGATGATAGAAGGAGTATATACCTGTTTTTCATACCGTATTGCGTAGCAATGTTTAGTCTACAATATCGCTATCACAAATTAAAACACACAGTACTCCAGCCCGCCAATATTACAGTGGTATTGTGGGAGAACCACAAGTCTCCATCTTTAGCTAGGCCACTGTATAAACACACCAGTGAATAGTTCTATTAATACATGTTCCCCGAACTAGTATAGCTTGTTCTCTGTTACACATGTTGTAAAAGTTCCTTGGAAACAAAAATAAGGAGTTCAAAAATCTTCCCCAAAACTGTAATAGCCAAAGCTTATTAAAGTTAGTTAATGCATTCACGCACAAGTAATGCATGAAGATAAATCATTCCTTGGCTCGCGAATTGACGCGAGACATGGAACATTGTGAGATGGATGTGGGGGGCTGAAACAGGGGACGTCATCCATCGAAAGGCGAGGTAACTCGGGATGTCATAGCTGGGTTATACATCGTGTGCAATGATTTAGAGGTGGGGGTGGAGGTGGTTGTGGGGTGGGTTTGTGGGAGGGGTTTGATGGGGGAGGTATTGGAAGACTTATGAGATACAGGCGTGAGATGTGAGATGTAGAAAGTTTAAATATTGGTTGTCTTCCCTGTTTATTTTGTTGTCTCCCTTAGCTAGTTAAAGAAACGGGCGATATTAGAAACAGACAATTCTAAGTTTTACATGAACATTTTCACTGTTTGGCCCGTTTTGCTTACTGATTGAATCTCGATTTTTTTCCTTTAAATAAGGCTGGATGTACATTTTGTAAAACAAAATCATTAAAAAATTTAGTCTATATTTGTGTGACATTTGTCAGATTTCGCACGTAGGCGACGATTTATTTTTTCTTTACACCCAGAAAACGACAGCCTTTATATTGTTGACCCAATACACGTGTCATTCTCTCCCTTTTTATCACGGGGGATGTGGTAATCCGTATATGACGTCACAATTCTCGAGTCACAGGTGGGTGGAGAAAGGTTAGAGTTTAGTGACCATAGGCTAAGTGAGGGAGAGGGGGGGTGTGGGAGGGGAGGAGGAGGGAAGGAGGGATGTGACTGCATGTATTAAAATTATAGAAAAATTTTTTGTTGATCTTAATCTAAGTTGTGGCTATTTTAGGAGATGGTGGTAGGGGAAGGTGGGGTGTCTCATTGTTTTGTAAAAACTCTGGAAGAAGAAAAGTTTATGGGGGGGGGGGTGAATGGGGTGGTTGTGTGCTTTAAAGAGCGGAAACTGTGGGCAATTAGAAACATTATGTCATTTAAGAATTCTGTGTTGATTATATCTCGAAAATATACTAATAAAGTTAATGAAGCTAGTAGAAATATTTCTTATACTTTCTATTTTCCCACACATATAATACAAGGCAAGTAGTTAACTAATAAAAGTCGAACGTCTATACATTATAGAAACATGCCTGCAAGTTCAGTCGAAAAGACAATTGGAGATTCCAGAAATACATAACGTCAAGCGAAGAGACTGTTGGCTAATTGAGTTGTGTAAAGGAAGATTTAAATCGACGCTATGGAGGGAAACATAATAAAAGTAATAATACGAGGATTTATTATACAGTTTCTAATTATAGCCTGTGTTAAACACGCATATATATTTCTAAACCTACCCTAAATCAACGACACATATTTTGTCCAGAATGCATGAATGTCGACATATTTTATCCTTATTTCACCTAAATCACAAAAGCATTATCTAGCCTGCAATGAATGTCGATTTATTTTATCCTTATTTCACCTAAATCACACACAAATTAACTGGCCATTATCGACATAATTTATCCTTATCTCTACTAAAATAAAAAGAATATAAAGCTTGCTATGAATATGAACATATTTTATCCAAATTTCACCTATTCTAAAAACATTGTCAAGCCTGCTATGAATGTCAACATATTTTATCTTACTTTCATATAAATTATAAAAACATTGTAAAGCCTGCTATGAACGTCAACATATTGTATCTTAATTTCACCTAAATCACAAAAACATTGTAAAGTCTGCTATGAATGTCAACATATTTTATCTTACTTTCATATAAATTACAAAAACATTGTAAAGCCTGCTATGAATGTCAACATATTGTATCTTAATTTCACCTAAATCACATACACATTGTCAAGCTTGCTATGAATGTCGATATATTTTATCTTAATTTCACCTAAATCATCAAAACAATGTCTGTCTTGACTTCTATGAATGCATATAAACATGTCACGTCATAACCTTACCTAAATCACATATATATTGTTCTTTAGATGTCAGAGAATGAAAATAAATATCGTAAATCTATACCTCGCCGAATCAACATAAACATTACAACTATGTAAACAATATTATTTTGCCTGTACATATTATTTCATATCCGATGCCCCAAATTACCCATCAAAACTATCTCTGTTCTCGCGTAGCCTATATCAGGTGTCAGTTTATTTGCTCCGCGTGTCTCTTCAAATCTACATCACGTGGTATAGACAGCTAGGGGATGGGTGAGTGGGGGTGGGGGATGGCGTTCATACATGACGTGATTAAAGAAGGGCAATGGGTACTAGATGGGGTGGTCTAGAGGTAGAGTGCTAGAGTGCTAACCAGAAAGTAGAGTTTGAATCCGGGTTCAAGTCAGTAGAACGTCCCTGAATCGACCCAACTCTGATGGGTACTTAACACAAGTTAGGGAAAGTAAAGGCGGCTGGGCATAGTGCTGACCACACTATCTCTTCATATGCCGAGGTCACAGAAACAAGTGAACTCTACCTCACTTGCTCAATGGACCGTCAGGTTCGAAAAAAGGAACTTTACTGACTTTAGCTAATTCTAACACATGTGTGGTGTGGTGGGGAATGTGGTAAAAGGCTGAAAGTGTGATGTGGTGTGACGTTACATGGCAAGTGGTTTAGCGTGTGACTATATTTGGGTGGTGTGGGAAACGTGTAAAACTGTGACAATGTGTGAGATTAGAGTGTAACGTTAGATGGGTGATGTGGGGAGGTTGTAAAAATGTGACAATATATGGTGGGGATTTAGAAAAACGTAACAAAATGTGACGATGCGTAATTTGTATTTTCAAATCGGGTGTAGCTCGGCAGCTTTATTGTTAAATCCTTAGCATTGTAGTGTTAATAAATCTTCTTCTTCTTCGTTTTTAATTTTTTAGTGTTGAAGGGGATCGAGCCTTATCTGCCAGAGGGTTGACCACAAGACTTTTTTCGAATTTTGTCGACTCGACCACGCCTCCATCACAATTAAGGATACGTGTCAACTGGTTTTGCGCCATTGAGGCCATTGACTCCGATTTTAACCTGCTTTTTCTTTTTGGATTTGCTTCCATAGCCTTTGTTCAACCAAGAACAAACTACAAGGCAGCAGTTGTTTGATTTTGGAGTTGTCTCTCCTAGAAGAGTGGCTGTCCCCAGCTAACGAGCCACATCTGCCCGAAGGTTCGAACTCGAGACTTTTCGGTTTAGCATGTTAATAAATAAAATACAGGACTATTAAACTTTCTGAAATATGATATTTTTATATAACTCATATTTTCTAAATGAAAAAAAAATACAGTTTTAAAATAATTTCGATTAAAATCTTGAGGGTTAAAATAATGCCTAGAGAGTGTAGGCCCACGTAATTGAGACGATAGGCCAACCTCCCGTGGCGTCAAATGGACGACAACTTTATTAACTCCGTCTAGCCTCATGTCTCGTTAGCCTCCACTTCTTGGCAGCTTATTGGCTCCACGGAGCATGCGGGTCTACGCGGACGTTATTGCACCGAATTTCATTTCCCCCCGCCCCGTGTCTTCGCCCCCTTTAGGAATGTGTTAATATTTTTTTTTTTAATTTTATGGTCGCCGTGTCTCCCACCCACGGTCAACCCATCTACTGCCCCATGGTCAACCCATCTACTGCCCCATGGTCACTCCATCTACTTCCCCATGGTCACTCCATGTACTGTCCCATGCTCAACCCATCTACTGCCCCATGGTCAACCCATCTACTGCCCCATGGTCACTCCATCTACTTCCCCATGGTCACTCCATGTACTGTCCCATGCTCAACCCATCTACTGCCCCATGGTCAACCCATCTACTGCCCCATGGTCACTCCATCTACTGCCCCATGGTCAACCCATCTACTGCCCCATGGTCACTCCATCTACTGCCCTATGGTCACTCCATCTACTGCCCTATGGTCACTCCATCTACTGCCCCATGCTCAACCCATCTACTGCCCCATGGTCAACCAATCTACTGCCCCATGGTCACTTCATCTACTGCCCCATGGTCAACCCATCTACTGCCCCATGGTCAACCCATCTACTGCCCCATGGTCACTCCATCTACTTCCCCATGGTCACTCCATCTACTGCCCCATGCTCAACCCATCTACTGTCCCATGCTCAACCCATCTACTTCCCCATGGTCACTCCATCTACTTCCCCATGGTCACTCAATCTACTGCCCCATGGTCAACCCATCTACTGCCCCATGGTCACTCCATGTACTGTCCCATGCTCAACCCATCTACTTCCCCATGGTCACTCCATCTACTGCCCCATGCTCAACCCATCTACTTCCCCATGGTCACTCCATGTACTGTCCCATGCTCAACCCATCTACTGCCCCGTGGTCACTCCATCTACTGCCCCATGGTCAACCCATCTACTGCCCCATGGTCAACCCATCTACTGCCCCATGGTCAACCCATCTACTGCCCCATGGTCACTCCACCTACTTCCCCATGGTCACTCCATCTACTGTCCCATGGTCAACCCATCTACTGCCCCGTGGTCACTCCATCTACTGCCCCATGGTCAACCCATCTACTGCCCCATGGTCAACCCATCTACTGCCCCATGGTCAACCCATCTACTGCCCCATGGTCAACCCATCTACTGCCCCATGGTCACTCCATCCACAGCCCTACGGTCAACCCATCTACTGCCCCATGGTCAACCCATCTACTGCCCCATGGTCAACCCATCTACTGCCCCATGGTCACTCCATCTACTTCCCCATGGTCACTCCATCTACTGTCCCATGGTCAACCCATCTACTGCCCCGTGGTCACTCCATCTACTGCCCTACGGTCAACCCATCTACTGCCCCATGGTCAACCCATCTACTGCCCCATGGTCACTCCATCTACTTCCCCATGGTCACTCCATCTACTGCCCCATGGTCATTGCATCTACTGCCCCATGGTCACTCCATCTACTTCCCCATGGTCACTCCATCTACTGTCCCATGGTCAACCCATCTACTGCCCCATGGTCACTCCATCTACTTCCCCATGGTCACTCCATCCACAGCCCTACGGTCAACCCATCTACTGCCCCATGGTCACTCCATCTACTTCCCCATGGTCACTCCATCTACTGCCCCATGGTCATTGCATCTACTGCCCCATGGTCACTCCATCTACTGCCCCATGGTCAACCCATCTACTGCCCCATGGTCAACCCATCTACTGCCCCATGGTCAACCCATCTACTGCCCCATGGTCACTCCATCTACTTCCCCATGGTCACTCCATCTACTTCCCCATGGTCACTCCATCTACTGCCCCATGGTCAACCCATCTACTGCCCCGTGGTCACTCCATCTACTGCCCCATGGTCAACCCATCTACTGCCCCATGGTCAACCCATCTACTGCCCCATGGTCAACCCATCTACTGCCCCATGGTCAACCCATCTACTGCCCCATGGTCACTCCATCCACAGCCCTACGGTCAACCCATCTACTGCCCCATGTTCAACCCATCTACTGCCCCATGGTCAACCCATCTACTGCCCCATGGTCAACCCATCTACTGCCCCATGGTCAACCCATCTACTGCCCCATGGTCACTCCATCCACAGCCCTACGGTCAACCCATCTACTGCCCCATGGTCAACCCATCTACTGCCCCATGGTCAACCCATCTACTGCCCCATGGTCACTCCATCTACTTCCCCATGGTCACTCCATCTACTGTCCCATGGTCACCCCATCTAATGGCCCATGGTCACTCCATCTACTTCCCCATGGTCAACCCATCTACTGCCCCATGGTCATTCCATCTACTGCCCCATGGTCACTCCATCTACTTCCCCATGGTCACTCCATCTACTTCCCCATGGTCAACCCATCTACTGCCCCATGGTCACTCCATCTACTGTCCGACGGTCAACCCATCTACTGGCCCATGGTCAACCCATCTACTGCCCCATGGTCAACCAATCTACTTCCCCATGGTCAACCCATCTACTGCCCCATGGTCAACCCATCTACTGTCCCATGGTCAACCCATCTACTGCCCCATGGTCACCCCATCTACTGCCCCATGGTCACTCCATCTGCTGCCCCATGGTCAACCCATCTACTGCCCCATGGTCAACCCATCTACTTCCCCATGGTCAACCCATCTACTGCCTCATGGTCAACCCATCTACTGTCCCATGGTCAACCCATCTACTTCCCCATGGTCACTCCATCTACTTCCCCATGGTCACTCCATCTACTGCCCCATGGTCATTCCATCTACTGCCCCATGGTCACCTTATCTACCACCAGGGCTGGGGCTACCTATAAGGCGAACTAGGTGGTCGCCTAGGGCGCCATCCTTAGTGGGGCGCAAAATGTTTAATCGCTAATTTCAAAAAGTACTTAATTATTAATAACTTTTATAAAGGAGTAGCGATCTATTTCGGCAGCAAGGACGAACTATCAATTTTGCCCCCCTCCCCCCCCCCCTCAAAGTTAGGTCTATATAGGCCTATATTTATTCACGTTGGTAAAAATTCAACCCCACATCCTTAATTTGGAAAGGTCGGAGCGCTTTTTACCAGTCACTTTGCATTTTTAATTTGGTGTCACATAATTGATGTAGTAGTTTGTTATTTAAATTTCGAACATTTTAAACGGTTATTTAATTTTAATAGGGCTTGTAAGTCTCATTTTCTATGACTTTGAATTAGAAATCTGTCCTGGTGTATAAAGTTTTGTATTGACGTAATGTTCAAAGTATTGTACTTGTTTGGTAAGTTTTAATGAATCGTTTAGATTTGGGAGTAACGGCGAAGGGCTGTTGCTGATATGGTTTCGTAGGTATAAAGAATCGAAGTGTTAAGGTATCATAATTTTTATTCGGCTGTTTTGTAGTTGTAGGTCTAGAGTCAAGTGGAATATGTTTTGTAAGAGAAATGAGAATGCAGGTGATGAAGTATAGTAGTTCTGGAGTTCGGGATGATTGATTCTTGTGGTATTAAGGTATCGAATTATATTGAGCGATAAAGTGTAGTAGTAGGTCCAGTGAAATCGTTGTTGATTGGGAGTACCGTTTGTAGAGCTGGGGGAAGTTAAACGAGTTGGTGTCGTGGTTCTGGACCATCGAGTCTAGTTATGTTTAGTTATCGAAGTTTAAATAATATATGTGTTGTGAATGTAGTAGAGTATATCGAGTAGTCGAGTTTATCGTAAGTTAGATGATTTCAATTCAGTACGTAACACACTACAAGAAAGGTAGGGTTCTCTAGTTGAAAAATCTTCAATTTTTTTAGGAATCTATATTACCACTCATAAAGTATTAATATATAATATTAAATAGGATGGAATTTATAAGTAACCGTAAACTTTGTTTTTTCAGATTATATTTTTTTACATTTAATCAATAATTCTAGCAATAGCTAAACCAGTTAACCGTTTTTGACTGTTTGAAAAGGCGTCCCTTTATTTAGGGGATCCAAAATTTTATATAGATCTACTATTTAACGGTGAGCTAGACAGTAGAAAGTATGTCATCAAAATTGAATAAAAGTATGTTATAATAAAGCTACCGTTTTTAGACTTTCAAACGAAACCTACAGATAAGTATTCAATGGTGAAATATACTGTTTCTACAAGATTATATAGCTGACATAAAATATTTATTATAATCATTAAGTAATGAAATTTATATCGTTTTATTATGTTTTTCAAGCATGTCTTAGTAACACTTGGTTAATTTAGCTATTCTTGTGAAAGTTATTTCCCTTGAATAAAATTTTGTTTTTTGGATTTTCAAACGAGAGATAAATCGTTCCTTAACTTTACATTCATTTCAAATTCCTGCACCTTAGGTTGACCGCTTACATATAAATACAACTTTAAGTTATTATTTGCTATTGTAAAAATTATATAGAGCTTAAGTTCTGAACAAAATAGTTTGGAAGTTTTTTTTAGCATTATCAAATTGAAAACCAAATACATCAGTAGCTGTTGTAGATTGCAATAATTAATGTTAGTAGACATACAGTCTTAGTCGTAAATTAAACATCTAATTAATTGTCTATGTCGTAAAGTAGAAAGTAGACTAGTTACGTAGCAACAATTTCAATAAAAATGTGATTACGCTTGCAAAATTGAAGGAATTAGTACAAACTTTTGAGACGAAGGAGGCAAGTAAAATTTGATTCAAACCTGACGGACTAAGGGGCAAGTGAAGTAGAGTTCACTTGTTTCTGTGACCTTGGCATATGAAGAAATAGTGTGGTCAGCACTATGCCCAGCCGCCTTTACTTTCCCTAACGTGAGTTAGGTACCCATCAGAGTTGTGTGGACTCAGGGACGTTTTACTGGCTTGAACCCGGATTCGAACTAGAGACTTACGGGTTAGCAGTCCAGCTCTCTACCACTAGACCACTCTATAACGTGTATGCAATTAATAATAAATTAATCTGTCACTTTTAATTAATTGTTTTCTTATACATATGTTTTAGTAATTATTTGTGTGAAAGGGCGCGTTTTAATATGTTTTGCCTAGGGCGCTAAATAACCTGGCGCCGGCACTGTCTACCACCCCATGGTCACCCCATCTCCCGCCCCATCCCCCACCCCCTCTCCCACCCATGATCCCCCACCCCATAGTCACCCCCATCACCCGACCCTACCATTACATCAGCCGACCAAAATACCTGATCACCTTCTTCTCTTCTTTCCCTCGTGATTTCTTCTCTTTTCATACCCCGCCCGCCCCTGGCTATTTGATAATTAACAAAGCTAATCACAAAGGCAGGCTCACACAGCCCTTAATTCAACTTCAAGTGGATTCGGTTCTCTTTGTTAACTAGTGAGATCTCTGAAGCTACATTCAAGTGGATTCGGTTCTCTTTGTTAACTAGTGAGATCTCTGAAGCTACATTCAAGTGGATTCGGTTCTCTTTGTTAACTAGTGAGATCTCTGAAGCTACATTCAAGTGGATTCGGTTCTCTTTGTTAACTAGTAAGATCTCTGAAGCTACATCCGCAATATGATAGTAAATTATAATCACAGGTAAATAATTAAACTTGGGTTAGATTAACAGGTCGTCCAAAAACGAGGATTAAAAAATGTATTATGGTGTGGGGGACATTTGACAAAGAGCCACGAAGGTCGGGATGAGAATTTGTGACGTCACTGTGTAGTAAAGTGGTCAGCGTGGTCAATCCGGTATAGATCAGGGCTGCTAAACCGAAAAGTCTCGAGGTTGAATCCTCGATAGCTAGGGACAGCAACCCATCTAGGAGAGACAACTCCAAAATCAAACAACTGCTGTCTTGTAGTTTGTTCTTGGTTGGACAAAGGCTATGGAAGCAAATCCAAAAAGAAAAGAAGAATGAAATCTGAGTCAACTTTACATATTGACACGTAATACTCAACTGTGTTGGAGGATATCCCTTCCAACACCTAAGAATGAAGCAGAACACTGAGCTGCTTTTAAAAAGTATCTTTTGTTTGAACCACATCTTTGCAGTGATTTTGTCAACAGACATTTGTTGAAATAGCTATACAACTTAATTAAACAATCTACTAAATCTTGAAATAAATGTGCTAATTAGTGCTGTATTTAACCTAGCATGCGGACACCTAACATTAACTTCAGCATTATCAAAAATATTTGTGTTATTTTCCCTAGTTAAAGCGACACAACTGATAATTCAGCAATAAATGCTAATTAAACTAAACAAGAATTAATATCTTTCTTAAAAAAATATTTTAAATGCATTAAATTATGAAAATAAACAAAGATTGTCTTTATATATAAAAGTAAAATCTAAATCGGTTGTTACTCCAGAGATAGATACATTATGTAAATAAACCTTGTGTTTATTAACTTTTATTTAGTTTACAATGTCTGTTCGTTTGTCTGTTTGTTTGTTTGTGGGATGTAACTCAGATTTGACTTACTTCCAATATAATGATTGTTGTTAACGTTCGTCTCCTATGATAATTCAAACATATCAAATGTTTAATCTAATTAGAAATAAGATTAGTCTTTAAAAAGGTAATTACAAATCTAAGTTCAATAAAACCAGGGGAGATAACAAAATTAAATACTAGCGAATGCTCAATCAATTCGAAAACATGGTGAGGGGTGGAAGCAGGCGTTGTAACTGAAATAGCAATGTAAACAGAAAGTGTTATTTCAACGCCAAGGGTAGACAAAGGTACAGAATATAGTCCAAGTAAAGACCTCAAACACAACAAGGACCATTATTCGACCACACAGGCGATTGTTATTGTCTTTACTTGGACTATATTCTGTACCTTTGTCTACCCTTGGCGTTGAAATAACACTTTCTGTTTACATTGCTATTTCAATCAATTCGACTGCGGTGAACTGTTTTTTCTCTCTTGGATCATAGTTGTTGGTGCGCGGATTCTTCATTTATTAATGCCCAGACGCCCCATTGCATGCCTTGTGTGTACGTTAATCACCATCCATAATAGTGAGGTAGAACACATCTCGGCGATCGCCTTAAACAATTGTAGTAATTTTAAAAAATAGTATTACCTTTTTTAAGTTCGATATAATTATGAAATCTCGACAAAAAAAATCTGTGAAAAACAACGGAAAATATACATTTCTTAATTTAAGTGTAGATTTGTTTTTAAGCCTAAAACTAATTTGTTATGTGTGTGTGTGTGTGTCTGTGTGTCTGTAAACACGATAACTTGAGTACCGTTACAGCTAGGTTGATTAAATTTCATATATAAGTATTTTTTCAAAATCGTAGATCGGTGTCAACTTTTGAGCGATTTCCGATAACCGGAAGGGAAACTTTTTCTACTTTGAATTTTTCAAAAGTCTATAACTTGAGTACTATTTCAGATAGATAAATGAAATTTCACGTGTAAGTAAAATATCTAATTCTCTACCATCTGTCAAACTTTGAGTAATTTCCATTGACCGGAAGTAGTAACTTACGCTATTTCCGGTTTCTCAAAAAACTAATGTAAATTATAAAGTACTAATAATATTGCGCACTATTATGCACATTTTATTTGGCGTTCACTTGGTGTGCAATTCTTTTTTTTACGAGATTTTATTCTATTTTAAAAGCTTGAAGTATTTAAAATGGAGTTCCCATCCCCTGTTGTTTTATTAATACTAATAGTGTCGCTGTCTGTCTATGTATCTATCTATCTATCTATGTATCTGACAAGAACGCTATAGAGAAAACACAAGCAAATTAAAAACTCTCACAGTAAAGCGGAAGCGAAATATGACGTCATATTCAGCATATGGTAGAAAAAAGTCAACAGCCGTGAGAGTGCACACAATAATATGACGTCATTGATTC